CACTCTGGAATAAGCTGTGAAAATCCTGCTTGTGTTGGGAAGATGCTGAGGTGAGAAGACTGTGGGATTCTTCAAGTGATGACACTCTTCCTCTCCATTTAAAGTTCAGGGGCAATATCAGCACTTCACCCCCCCCCCCCCTTTTTTTTTATTATTTTTTAAAGAAATAAACACTACGTCAAATTCCAGTCCACCACTGTCGCTTATGTATTTCTTCATGTCATATATGTGCCAGAAGACGCAACGTCTAAACCCAATCAGTCACGCGCTGACTCACCGTGATGGTTGTAAAGTGATGGGGGCAGCACGAGACGGTTTTATGATGTCACCACTCTAGTAAAGTTCCAGCTGTGACGACACGAGGATGAGACAGGTACCTAAACGTCACACGCACAATACACGCGGGGACACGCACGCGCGCGCGCATGCTGAGGGCGTGCGTGCCTTCTGAACATGCAAATAACAATATCGGGAGTTTTCGAATCTACTCACCAGCACTACACTCTTATCCCCATCTTCAGTCCGAGGTTAAAGCAGATATATAGTCCCAATGTGGTCACACCGCGGCTTGTTCAGCCGGCATGAGTGTAGGAGAAGTGCAGCTGGACTCTCTGATTGATTAAACAGGAGGAAATCAATGTCTTCTGGTAGCGACTGTAGTGTAAAGCTCCTGCCTTCCTCCTCTGGACGGGTGTCTGCGGGACACAGGCGGAGGGTTTCGGGCTCCGTACCCGTCGGCGTGGTGGGAGTCMGGTCCAGTGACTCGGAGACACGGAGAACCGTCAGGTACATCCGCAAAGTCCTCTGAGCCGAGCGAGTGTCACACCAGCCGCGGAGGGAGAACGCTGCTCACACCTCTTCAGTCAAACTAGGCGGAGGAATACAACTTCCGGTTTAGGTTTCAAAAACAAAAGCTTCATCGTTGATCGCGAGCGACTTCACATGAGGACATGATTTGCACTAACCGCGTGTTCATAATGTTAACAACATGGTGATCTATACTCCCTGTATGCTGCATGGATTATTGCATTATATATATA